CCCATGTCTTTTTCAAGAGGAGCGGCGGAGCATGCATAGCTGTAGCCATGTAATAAGGGGGTGAGCAGCTTTTTGAGTATGCAGTTCTTGCAAGTCTGCTTGGTTTCTGTGAGTACAATGATGTCGGGCGGCGCATGTGCTGTCTTGGCCATGAGGTCGCGCAGGTGGCCTGAGAATGTGCCGATTCCTTGCACGTTCAGCGTCAGCACAGAGAGCTTTGTAGTGCGGTCGAGTATTTCTCTGTCCTAGCGCATGGCGGCGGCGCGGTCCAGTTCCGCCCGTTCCTTGAGCGCGCGAGCTGCCTGCCGCCGCGTACGCTGGCGTTCTCTCTTTGCTGAGTTCCTGCCACCAACAGCGGGTGCTGGGTTGGGCTCTGGGGCGGGCGCTTTGGTTGCGTGAGCCTGCTTGCGCGGCTCGCCTGTGGCGTTGCCACTACTGTCCACCTCTGCAGTCTCAGGCACCCCTGCTGTAGGGGGCACGAGTGCCGCAGCAGGTATTGCCTTGAATTTCCAGAGGTCGGTGATGCGCTTCTGCCGCGCGTCGGTTTGAATCACCACCCGTCGTTTCTGACCTGCATGTTTTGAGACCCCTTTATGGGCTGGTGCACAGTATGTGAGGGCAGACTCGCGTCGTTTTGGCCTCTTTACTGGCACATGTTGACTAGGCGCGCGTCCCACGGCCGCTGCTGCGCCCTCGTTCCCGGCTTGCGGGGCGACGGCGGTCGTCGGCATCAGTCGCCGCTGTCCTCCCTCGTGGGTCGCGGCCACCTCAATCCCGCGCGTGTCCGTGCGGTTTGTCACTTCTCTGGACGCGTCTCTGCGGCTGTGCAGTTTCGAGGCCTTGCGCTTTTCGATCTCTGCGCGGCGTGCGATGGCCGCACTCGTGGGCATGGCATTCGCCCCGGCGCTGCGGGTGGGGGCTGCGCTAACGGCTGGCCGCAGCTGGGCAAGCGGCACTGCTACAAAGTCTGCGGGGGGGCGTTCCGCCCCTCCCGCTCCTCTGCCAGGTTGTGCCCCAATTGTTTGGGCGCGGGCGGCGTCGATGGGGGCCAGTACGTTGACGCTCCAGCCCCCCGTGGTCACGCCAAACTCCCAGTCCGCATCGGTCATCTTTTTGATTTTGTTCCCGTTGACGCCGAACGGGATAGAGTCCGCTTCATACCACTGCCCCTCATCGCATTTCACGAGGGCAATCCAGTGACTGGGTGCATGAACCAGTGCACAATCACACCCGTGGTGTTCCAGCCGCCACTTCAGCTCGCGGCCTGTCATGTTGCCTGGGCCCTCCATCTCCAGTCCCAAGGGGTAGATGGATACCGGTAGCTCTGGCGGTGTGTGTTCATACAGCCACCTGTTGAGGGCTTCGGAGGTAAACCACCCCTCCCCTGTATAGTGGCCTGCTTCTTCCCCTGCAGGCCAGTGTTCACGCATATAGCGTACCATCCCCTCTCCAGGTATCGCCCGTCTGCCCAGCATCGCGTTCAACGCATGCGCCCCGCAGAAGCCTTGCTCCTGCGCCTCACAGTATGTTCCAGCTGGCGGTTGGACCCAGTGGTCGTCTTGGCCTCGCGGGGCCCGCCCCCTGCGGAGTCGCGCCAGGCCGCCGCCACGCAGCGCTCCCGGTCCGGCGGGCGTCGTCGCTGGCTGCACATCGGGTTGCGGCCGGGCAGCGGTGCTGATGGTGCACCTCGCCCCGTTTTGGGCGCCCTCCCCGCAAGTGGGCGGTGCCGGTGCGTTGTGGTGATCACCGGTGATGTGTGAGCGCGCTGCATGGGCCGGCAAGGAGGCGCCGGGGGTCATGTTGACAAGGGCCTGTTGGCATGCTTGAAGTACGTGATACGTGCTGTGGGCACGTGGGATGTGGCGGCCGAGCCACGCTGCATGATAAGATCCTTTGCGCGGCTGGCGCCAGCCCTTGCGAGCATTGGGCGTGCTGCTTGTGAGTTTGTATATTGCTGCGGACAGCGCAGGCTGCTTCCCTTGCGATAGTCGCATCGCTGTGCGCACCACGTGCAGTGCCTTAGCGCGCACTGCCTCCTGGCTCTTGTTGCGCTGGTACGAGGGCGCGAGCATGGCCAGCGGTGCGGGCACACATGGGTGGGCGGGTGCTGACCAGCGTATGGAAGCCTGGCCCCGTGCAGCTGCCTGCTGGAGCTTGCACAGTCTTTCCGTCCAAGCGCGGCGCCTTCTCAAGGCAAAGACAGCCGCCGCTGTGCCGTATGCTGCTGCAAGGGCTCCCTGGAGGAGGGGCGCGACTGCCAGCATCATTACCATTGCCGCTGCTGCCATCTCGGGCACTGCAAGGTGAGCTATGTTCGAGAGCGTCGGGGCAGCCGCCGCCCCGCAAGGGTGTGCCATCAGCAATATTATAATAGGCAGCTTCGTCTTGTTTATCTTCCACACACGCATCTTGCGGCGTCGGTTGTTGCTCCACCTTGCGGCGGCCCACAAAAGCACACCTAGAAGTGCTGCTGTCGTGGTCCAGTCGCTGTCATTGTTTGTCAACCCTGTGCGGTGTGCTCTCGGAGTGTCCCATTTATGAATTTGTCGGACAGCATCGCTGTCACTTCTAGTGGTCGCACAGCGGTCCGTTGCACGCATAGGCTCAAGCGGCAATGTTGCGGCTGGGCTGCACGCAGCGGCCGCTTGTGGCGCTCGGAGAGGATAACGCGTGGCAGTGGAGGGTACCGTTGGCGTCAGTGTGATCGGTAAATAAGTTCTGTTGCAGTCATGCTGCTGCACATCGAGTTGATGCGTTGCAGAATTGGCGATCCCCGCCGCTGGACTGCGGCACATGCACCATGGTGCGCTGCACGTCTCACCCTGGCGCGTGACCCTGGTGAAGTGGCTTGCGTGGCTTAAATCTTTTTGATAGTTGCAAGGACAAGTGTTAAGTTTATATAAGTTTGATGTTGTTTCGCGCTGCCCGGTGCTTGTTTCGCGGTCGCGCTGGATGCCGGGGTAGTCATACTGGGCGCTTGGCAGTGATAAACTACCAGGACGCAGTGCATCTTCGCGCAGCAATGTAGTTTTGCCCGAATCGTGCGTCGGGTAGAGGTTGGCACCGCTGCAGCAGTGGCGCTTCACTGCAACGCGTGCGCACGCTTGAGCGAGGGCCCCATTCTCTTTCCCTCTTGCACCCGTGCCTGCGAGGTCTGGGTGAGTTTTCCGAGGCCCGGCAGCTTGCAACATGCCGTCATCTGACGAGAGGTCGTCAGCCCCGAGCCCTTGCTGCCCTTTGTTGCGGTTGGTTGCGCATGACATCGCTGTTCCGCATTCAGTTGGGGACGCGGTGTGCGCAGGGGGCATACACGTGAAATCCTGGCAGGCTCTGGGCATGGACTGCTCGGTTTTGCATTGCGCTGTGGTTTCTAGCGCGTGCTCGGTGTCGTATGGGGCAGCGGTATTGCAGATATGGAGGGGGTTGATAGTGTCGCTGCGTCCACCTCCGTACGAGCTCGCGTTGCGGCGCATCTGAATGTAGGTTGGTATTGGCTTGTGTCCTGCAAGGGTTCTGTTCGCGGTGGTGTGACGTGTTATGCTGCGTGTAGGCGTTGTGTGCTCAGTGCAATCAGTGCATGCGCGCGCGTCCGCTGCTGCAACCGCTTCAGGCGCAGCGACTGCACCTGCTCCGCCCACAACGCCAGCGCCAAGGTCAGGCAGCACAGTGCCAATACTTATAATTGCGTCACACTCAGTGATGGTGGGCGTAGTCTCATATCGCGCCCAGGTCGTCGAATAATTTGAACGATTTGAATCGGCCGCGCTCTTGCGCTCGCTTCTTGCTAATGCTTGCCCATAGGGCGACGGCAAAGCGATCCTGGCCGCGGCTACCGGGGGGATAGGGGATTCGGGCCTGGCGGCCCCCACCAATCTACCCCGCCCGGCTCCGCTGACCAGGGGCCGGCCCAGCAGCACAAGGATGCATAGCGCGAGAATTTCTGCCTTATACACCGCAGGGCTGGCGAAGGCCCCGTCGGCAGGTCGGCCAGACGATCTGGCGCGCTGTGTGCTTGGTCACTTCATTGCTCGCTTGCTTATTGCTCAGGTGGTCCTCCCGGGTGCGCTCTTGGACCGCTGCCGGGTGCGTGCCGTCGTCGGCCGGCGCCCCCCACAGTGGCGGGCGAACCGCCTCCGCAGGTGAGTACCTGTCCCCAAGCTGCTGCATGGCTGCACGCTGCTTCAATCGCAGTGTCGCTTTCTTGACGATGAAATGGGTGAGTGGGGCTGAGCCGTGGCCCCACAAGGAGACGTCGAAGCGCGTGAGGGCCCAAGGGCCGACGAGGTAAACATCCTCACGAGGCGCCTCGGCGTCCGGCTCGGGATCCCACGGCCGCAACTTCGGCAAAAGGCCCTGGG